ACCCGAGGGTTCCAACCGAGTCTCATCGGAGGAGCCCACTCCCTCGCGATCGATCAAGGCCAAGCCAGAGATCGAGCGCAAGAGGCAAGGGTCTGCCAGATGGATCGCCAAGCGGTCCACACAGACACCTACCTCGGAGGAAGCGCCGGTTCACTCCGGCACAAACCGCAATGCCACAACCCACGGTGACGTTCTCCCCGCTGGGAGAACTAACCAACAGCGACGGCAAACACCCGTCAGACAGGGGGTCCAAACCTCCATTTCTCATAATGGCCTGAACCATCACACAGGCCCGAGAAACACTAGACGGGAAGGCAAGCTGCCCGACCTCAGAAGGCCCTCCAAATCAGGAGCGTCAACCGAGGACAGCAGAGCCATCCGCTCAGGAGGACTTCGCTTCTCAGGTCATATCCCTGATGCGAACAAACCACACCGAGCATACGAGCTTACCCAAGTAGGCGAATCCTCGAAGGCTGGCGAGCCTCGCCATAATCATTTGGCGGATAAACGTAAAGGAAAGGAAATAGGCGGTTCCTCCCGAACCCGCTCTTCTAAACACGGGGTCGAAACTCGCCCACATACTGGAATTCGCTCAAACGCGAAGACTCGCCAGTCAAGGCGAGATCGCCTGACTCCAACACCAAGGCGTTCCACCCAACACGCGCCAGAGAGAGCGCCCAAAAATCTCTCGTCAGCTCACCAGAGCGACTCTTCTGAGGCCCGGGGTTGTCACCAACCACCCGTAGAAGACCTCAGAGAATTCTTGACTCGCAAACGCACTATTCACGAGGCGAATCCTCAGTGTCATTGCGAGAGACTCATCCACACGGTCCTCGCCGACTGCCAATGCGTTGGAACGGCGAAACCTTCGGTATTTGAGAGGCTTTCTCAACAGGCCTCTCGACCGAGGCCCTCCCGTCGAAGGCGCCGTCACCAGAAAAGACGCGCTGCTGACGACCTGGAACTCTCATCCGCCACAGTCAACATGACGGATAAAGGGAAGGCGGTACTCTCCGACTCGCCAGACTCGGACTCCGTCTTAAGACCTAACACCCGGTCTGCCCGACGCCGGCAGGAAGGCATATTCCAGCGAACCCGTAGTCGCCGGGGGGTAAGTATTGGGTTTGACTATTCCACCCTAATACCTCCCTCCTGCGGCGAAGATGAGGTTCATTCGGCGGCGGCCACATCCCAGACCTCGCGCTCAAGTCAAGACGCGCAGGCGAGGGCGCACATGACCGATACCAACCACGAGCAGACAATGGCTCAAAAGTTGGAGGCACAGCAGGCGACCATCGACTCTCTAAGAGAGATGATGGAGCAACTGCTGAGCAAGAAGAAAAAGAAGGGAACCCAACGTCCCTTGCCCCGGCAGACTAGGGATAAAGAATGGGTACCACCTCACCGTCCAGCGGCTGAGACGGAGGATGATCGACAATCCGATTACTCCTCCAAAACATCGATAGGAACGTCGCACACCGCGGATAGCACCCGTGACAAAAGATTCGACGAGTTCCAGGACCAACTGAACGCGCTGAAGCTTCAGCAAAACATGAACAAGCTGGGGGTGGTACGTCCCTACCCTATCGAATGGGACACGGTCCCATACCCAGTGAAGTTCAAGCCAATCAGTTTGGTGCAGTTCGATGGCAAGGGGTCACCCTCGCAACATATCTATTACTTCATGGCGCAGACCGGATTCCTCACCGGGAACGACGCCATTCTCACCCGACTATTCATAGGTACCCTCAAGGGGGTGGCCTTTGAGTGGTTCCGCAAACTGGAGCCTGGCTCCATCAAGGCATGGGCCGACGTCGAAAAGCTCTTCCTCGCCCGCTTCTTCGACGACGACACGGAAGTGTCAATGGCCACTCTCCTCGCTGAGAAGCAGCGTAAGTCGGAGTCAGTTAACGACTTCGTAAAGAGATTTCGAAATCGATCAGTCCACTGTCGGGACCAAGTTTCCGAGGCGACACTGATTGAGATGTGCCGCAACAATCTGTCAATCCACATCCTGTCCAAAATAGGGGCAGTTGAAACCCGGACTTGGAAGGAACTTGTTCGCCAAGGCGAGCAAGTTGAAAATATGATCAAGAGGCTGGAGGCCGAAGAGCCACAGTCCAAAAAGGGAGCAGCAGAACCAGCGGCGCCAAAGAACCCTCCTCGATCGAAGGGAAAAGAGGCTATGGCCGTAGACTCTGCCGCGGCGCCAAAGTTCGTTCAAAAGCCGAAACCCAGGCAATTTGAACCACGCCCCCAGCGGCAATATGATTTCAAAGAAGACCAGGTAGTGGCGACTCTCGACACTCTACTCAAGAGTGGGCGAATTAAGTTACCAGAAGCCGCGAAGCCTGAGGAGGCGGACAAAACCGGTGACCCAAGTTACTGTGCATATCACAGATTCCTTGGGCATCACACAACCAAGTGCTACGTCCTCAAGGACAAACTCCAGGCCCTCTACGACGCGGGGGTCTTGAAGAAAGAGAAGGTCCAAAAGCAAGTGACGGCGAACATGGTCACTTTGAGCTTTGGGACGGGTCTCCCGGAGGTTCAAGCTCCGGCGGGGATAATTCCTATCCCCAAGGCGGTTTTGAAGATCACTAACGACGATCCTCACAACCAGCGGGAGAAGGGTTTGGTTCCACAAACTCTGCCATCAGGGCAAGTGATGTGGGTCCATCCGGACCTCCTCGACGACGAGCAATGGACCGCACAGCCTTCCAAGGAGGCTAAGAGGAAATATTGCAACGTTGTCACCGCCATCCTGGATACAGACGACGCGGCGATGACTGCCTTAACCGACTCTGAAGAAGACACCAACGTCTTCGCCACGAGAGCCGGAAAGGAGTTTGCGAAGCAATATCCCGCGAGGGCGGAAAACCCAGCAGGACTTCCCGCGAGGCCGGCTGCAGCAGTCCCTCCCAATCCAGAGGAGCCAAGTTCAAGCCGCCAGCCTTACCGGTTCAACGTGCTCGCGCAATTGAAAAGCATACCCGCGCGAATCACCGTGTACGACCTCCTCCGGTTGTCTAGGCCTACCCGGGAAGCCCTACAAGAGGCGTTGGCTGACGCAGAGGCGTTCTCGACCCATTTCTCAAAAGAAACGGAGATCGAACAGGGCTGTACAACTTGCTGCCAAGTCTCAGAGAGACAGATCCCCTGCATCACTTTCACCCCCGAGGACATGCTCATCAAGAACACGTCCCATGACCGGCCGCTGTACTTCACAGGATACGTCGGCTCGGCGAAAGTGGATCGGATCCAGGTTGACCCGGGGTCCGCACTGAGCATCGTGCCCCTGAAGCTAATCAAACATTTGGGGATACCGTCGAAGCGCCTAGCCTCGACCTCGACTACCATCTTCGGCTTCAACGCCACAGGGACTCGGCCACTCGGCAAAATCCGCCTGAAATGTCGGATAGGCGACATGAAGACGGAGGTGACGTGCTACGTTATCGATGCTGAACCCTCCTACAACATACTCCTGGGGCGTCCGTGGATTCATGGCAACCGGATCGTTCCATCCACGCTACACCAGTGTTTGAAGTACGTGGACGACTACGAGCGGGTAAGAACGGTAGTGGCCGACAAACACCCCTTTAAGGGCGTCGAGAACTACTTCGCGGATTCTCTGCTATACCAGGACCCCGACCAGCCACCGGTGGAAGAACTGGAAAGTGGCAATGAGGCGGATAGCGAACCTGAATACGGTGACAGCTTAATTCTGAACGACTTTGAGTCGATTGTAATTGGTTATGAGAGTCACCATGTAACTAACGCCGTTCAGGCAGAGAAGCTTATCATGAATGAGAAATCCGACCTTGCTTATTTGTCGTCTTGCTCCTCGTCCGAAGACGACGCACCTAATAACTCATGGTCGACACTCTACAGTGAGTCTTCTCTACACTTGCCGGTATGTTCGTCATACATCTTCAAGACGCGGCCGATCGAGCCATCGCGAGCTGTATTCGTCGTGCCAGCACGGAAGAGGTATCGAAAAGACATCATCTTCGGTCGAATCGATCGCCCCCTACGCACGCTATGGGACGAATCTGAGGACGAAGACCCAGCGCCCCAGTTCTCGCAATACAGTCGAGTGGCGAAACGCATAATGAGCAACATGGGGTACGACCTCACTCGCTTGGAGGGCCTGAATTACGGCCGAGGACGCAAGACGGTCATCAAACCATCCTACGTCCCCAAAGGGAAGCCCTCAAATTACTTCAACAGGACTAGGAGAGGCTTAGGCTACTCCTCCTCCTCATCGGAGTGTTGTTTTTACGTCGACGAGGATTCCGATTACGCATGTTCAGGAGATCAGTCGTCAACAACCTCGGCCTGGGACTCCGACGTTAGCGTAAGGGATCTGTTCGATGGCCTTACAGTCAACATGGCTACAGTAGACCCCGCCGAAATGGCGAAGGACGAACAACTTCCACTTTACGACGAGACATGGGATCGCCATGTTAGCGCCCAGTGGAACAGTCGCTTCGAACAGCGCGAACCACCAACTGAAGACGAAGTCCTCCAGGTGAACATGGGTACCGAGGCGAATCCCAAACCCATATTCATCAGCGGCAGTCTGCCTCCTCAAGAAAAAGAGGATCTCATCGCCCTCGTACGGGAATACATTGACGTCTTCGCCTGGAATTACGAGGATATGCCTGGCCTGGATCCGCGGGTCGCCACGCATCGCCTCAACATCAACCCTGACGCCAAGCCAGTCAAACAACAGCAGAGGCGGTTTCGCCCCCAAATCATGGAGGCGATCGAATCTGAAGTAAAGAAGCTGATCGAATCCGGCTTCATCAGAGAGGAGCAACACCCCGACTGGGTGGCGAATATTGTTCCAGTCTTGAAGAAGAACGGCAAGATCCGCATCTGCATCGACTTTAGGAACCTCAACGCCGCGTGCCCTAAAGACGAATTCCCTCTGCCCATCACGGATGTCATCATTGACAATACGTGCGGATTCGAGAGGATGTCCTTCATGGAAATTCATGTAGTGTTTCCCTATAAATAATCACATAAGGAGCTATGAGATGGACGTGTCCTTGCTAGAAAAGCAGGAAGCAACAGATGTCTTGAGGGGTAAGTTACAGAGAGAGAGAGAGAGAGAGAGAGAGAAAAAAAAAAAAGAAAAAGGCAAAAAAAAGGGAGGGTTGTTTAGATGACACCTTTGTTTTTTCTTTTTTTCCTCCACTAATTTTTCTCACGAATCCCCAACTTGAACACTGTCAATCTTGAACCATAATCTCTATCTAGGTTAGTTGCAGTTGTAGAGATCTATGTAACAGCTCTTGAACCACAAAAATCTCTTCAATTGAATAAGTTTGGACGAGGAATTGTTTTTATTTATTTATTTTTAATTAGCCAAAAATTTCATAATTTTTTGATGTAATGAAGCAAGATTCGGTAAAATACACAACATTTGAATATTTTAAACAAGAAGAAAAAACAAGGATCAGGAGCTGACTTGATCTGTGCGAGAGGCCCCACCCCCCACAACAAAAAAAACAAAGAAGAAAAAAACCAAAAAGAAAAAGAAAAAGGGGGGAGAGAGAGAGAGAGAGAGAGAGAGAGAAGAAAATAAAAGAAAAAGGCAAAAAAAAGGGAGGGTTGTTTAGATGACACCTTTGTTTTTTCTTTTTTTCCTCCACTAATTTTCTTTGGAGAAAGTTACAGGGGTTTCTTGGGAAAAGCTAAGGGGGTATCGTTGGAATAATAAAGTTCAGGGGGTTTCATAGGAAACAACCCAAAGTTTTTGGGGTTTTGTGAAGTTTACCTAAAAGTTAAAGTTGGATGGTCTCTACTGATCAACTTTAAGATTTGTGCGCTAGGGCACATGTCACCATCTTGTTCTCCCCTTATGATTCTCGATAGAGGCCCTCTAGACTTTTTAGCCCTCTTGCCTTTCTTTAGTAACCTCTCTGTACTCAACACAATTGCATCATCAAGTTCATGTGTTAACTTTCTTTAGTAACCTCTCTGTACTCTACCCATCTTGAATGATTACAGGTGAAATTCTTCGGGTATAATCCAACAGTTGACCAGTTGACTAGACAGATGAGCAAGTTGCTTGGTATAAAAGATTCTGATGGCGAAGAGAAAAGTTGTGCTTCTAGAGATCCTCCATGGATATGGTGCTTCTTAATGTGCTATTATTTGGACAAAAAAGATCCATGGGGGAGTAGGAGGTATAGGATAATCGACACCCGCTTGGTTGATTGAAGAAAGAAGACCTTTCTATCATGTGACATTTTGTAAATACTGCACTCTTCTTCAAGTGACAGACCAAATGCTAATTGCGAATAACACTTTGTAATGGTGACATGGGTAGTTAGTCATGTAATATCCTCGAATTTGGCTTATCTAGAAGTGAAGATTGAAGGGGTATTGGAAGGTTGTTTTCTTTTTAATTAGTATTGGAAGTTAAGGGGGTGTTTGGTTCAATTTCTACAAATTATAAGAAATATTTTCCACCCAAAATATGATTTCCTTGTATTTCTTAAAAAAAAAAATTGTAGGAAAAGTTTTGAAAAGTCAAAAAGTATTCATTTTTTTGTTTTTTTTTTACTTTGCATGTTTGGTTCAAAACAAGAAAATCACTCATAAGTTTATAGAAAATAGCAAGATTTCCTATAATTTGTAAAAATTGAACCAAACACCCCCTATATTTATAGAAAAGTGTCAGCTTTATAGAAAAGTGTCAATGTGATGTTAGATTTCTCGATGATTTTCGCTCATTTTGAGAGAAAATTGATTTCTGTAAATTTTGGTATTTTTACAGTAAATTTTTTTGAACCAAACCCTATTTACGGAAATCTACAGAAAATTTTTAATTACAGAATTGCATTGTTAGACATTTTGAGAAAACTTTTCTATAAAATTGTGCAACCAAACACCCCCTAACTGTGTTTGGATATAAAACTGCCTATGTGCTAATTAAAAAAATAAAATTAAGAATACGAAGTGATTAATCTCCTATAGCACAGAAGGCTTATTTGCAATTAATTTTTATAACTCAATAACAAGAGGTCCGAGTGAACGATGAGTTACGAAGGTTCATCTAGTATGAAAGATTAATAGTATGAAAGATTAATGGACGGTTGTTTAAATGTACATAGGATTGGTATATAGATACAATAATGTATGACTCAGATAATTATTACTTTTTAATTTTTCAGTATTAGTCCCTTACATCTGACATAATTGCATATGAGTCCCTCAAATCCTATGTGGTCTTGCAAAATGGTCCTCTAAGTCTAAATGGTGTTATTAGATTTGAGGGGAATAAGTCGTCAAATATAACAACTCTGAGCAACGTGGCCATTTTACTTGACTATTATGTTTCCCAACCTATTTCTTAATCGATTTATGCCAAATATTCGCTTTAAAAAAATTCAAACTCAAATGAGCTCTTCTTCTCCAATTGTTCGCACCTAAAGTTGAGCTTTGTAAATGTTAGAAACGTTAGGAGAGGGGTAGTTTGATAATTGCATATGTTGGGTTAGGAGTTAACCTAACCACGCTTAGAAATTTTTTTTTTAGTTAAAATACTAACAGAGGATCCTTTTGCAAGACCCTATCGAATTTGAGAGGCTAATATGCAATTCTATGATTTGAGGGACTAACAAGCAATCATTGAAGATATTTGGGACTAAAATTATAGAGAGAAAAGCCCCTTTAAAGAAAATGAACAAGTTTTCAGTTGTAGCCTTTTTGTTTGCACAGTAAAGACCGTTTTAGTATATGGATTAAGGACAAATTTTCAAAACCAACCCTTTTAGCATTTTATTTGCAAAAAACGACCTATTTTGAAAATAATTACAAAAACCGACCTGTTTTCAGCCCAGCGCTGAAAACAGGTCGGTTTTTGTAAAAAAGTCTCCGAAACATCACGGGAGTTCAACTCCCGTGAAGTTTATCGAGAAATTAAACTTCACGGGAGTTGAACTCCCGTGAAGCTTAATTTTGCTTAAAACTCCACGGGAGTTCAACTCCCGTGGAGCTACAGTCGAAAATTTCCAGCGAACCGAGTCTCTGGAAATTTGGCACTGCAACTTCACGGGAGTTGAAATCCCGTGAAGTTGCAGTCCACAATTTGCCAGAGATCGAGTCTCTGGAAATTTGGCACTGCAACTTCACGGGATTTCAACTCCCGTGAAGTTGCAGGTCACCCAGCATGCACAGCTTCTGTGCAGGTTTTGTATATTTACCTGTAAATCATATATTCCTGCAGCCTCCCACAGCCTCAGACACCTCTCTCAACACTTCCTCTCACCTCCTCTCGCCATGAGTTTCTCTTACTGCAATCCTCTCACCTCTTTGCTCATATTCTCGAAGACGATGACTCTTTGATTCGTCCTTCAGTCGTCTTTAGTGTTATGTGATGATTACATATCTATTTTATGTTAGAATCTCTTTAAATCATCAAATATGCACTTTTTAGATTTTTTAGATTTTTCTTTAATATTTCTTATTTTTTTGAATATGCATACATATCTAAATTAGACCGCTATTTGAATTTACGCTTTTTATCGTTATTTTGCTGCAATAACTCCAAATAGCCTTAGCGATGCCTCACCGCTACGCGATGCTATCCATTATCGATAACCTTGAGAGAAGATCAAGCTGAACATTTAACAAATCAAGAATAATTCAAATCGTTCATTGTGGCTCTTGTTGAAATGCATGTTCTGCCATCATTAATTATTCAAACCGTTATGATTTATACATTCTAAACTTCATGAAGATAAAAAATCACGTAGTTTTGATATTTCCAGCATATGCATCTCATCTCGTAGAAATGGTCGATAACAAAGTTCTTTTTGAGTTGCTTGACTTATATAATATAAAAATCTAAACCCTGTGATTTTTAATCCATTTGGTTTGATGACGTATAGATAGTTGAACGGTTTGGATTAATAATATTTGGATAAATATGTATTCTTGCTTGTTGCAATCTTAAATACATTTCTCACAAGTTTTCTACATGGAATGATGTCACGCCCCGAAATTGAAGCGGACGATAGATATGGTACATAACAACAGCGGCCTGTGCACAAGATAAGTCTCATACACATGTCAAGCCTAGCACTTCATATCATATATATTTTTCTCAAAATATATGAGCCTACTGATGATAGAAGTTCAGAACAAACTATATGTATGTACGTACGTACGTACGTACGTACAACCCGAAAGCTCACTGTTACAAGCATTTTATAGAACCACAATACATTGCTCTACGTAACACAAAAGAGAGGCTTTCCTATATAACGCCTCCTTGCAACACACCACAACCAAAAGTTCAGTCTATGTGCAAAGCTACACTAGATCTAAAAGAATTTTGTAAAGGACGAAGTAAGCTGAAGCTTATGAGAAGATTTCCGACTAGAGTTCTAGATATCTAACAAAATAATAATTCTCAGAATTAGTGAATTTATAAGTTTTGAACCCGAAATTATGGGATGACAAAATATTATATAAAAGAACACATTATTAATATTTTCAAGAAAGAATGCAAAATTTTAATATACTTTCTTATATGCAAACTGGATACACTGTCATAGATTCCTCAGTCAGAATTTTTGCAATTAAGATAAATATTGAGAAAGAAAACGACTATAAAAACTTATGCAAAACGAAAAGAGTATTGTTTTCTTAAATTCACAATCAAATGTCAGAATCACAAGTCTTGATGAGTTATTCACATGATTGCAAGGATCATCTCACTAGTCACACTAAGGCTATGAAGTATAGCCCAATAGCATGGGATTGTATAAAAACACATCACAGAATAGATAATTTTTTAAAATAGAATACAACCTAACACTGTCATAGGCTGCTGGTCAGATCAGAAATGCTCATAAGAGCTAGAACAAATTCAGAAATACACAAAAGGGCTAGATAATGGTGCATCCACTGTACCGCAGGCACAGACAATACTCCAGAGCGGACTTTCTGAAAGTTTTGAAACCATCGAGAATCACTTGTCAAATAAAACACAGATTACTTATCAAAATCGTACATTCTCGAATCAAGTGGAGGAGTGTAAAACTCATCATCTCAGTTAAAACGGTTTACAAAACTCACTAATTTATTTATTTTAAATGCCAAGTTATGAAAAAATTCTTGAATCCGTTAAACCGTTGAAACACACTCAAACCACTTTCTTCAATAACTTTCGAATAAAGCAATATTCATCTTTATTTAAGATGACATTAGAACCAAAATCATTTAGCATATTTTATATGAAATCAAATTTACTTTTAATATCTCATACGACATCAAAATCATATAATTGGGATAGGTTACTAGAGCATAGATCAAATCATATGTCATTTGTATACATAAAAATAATAAAATAATTATCTCTTCAGCACAAGATCAATCAAATATAATATTTATGTGATTTATATTATAAAAATACTAGTGAGCAATGAACTCAGCTCTAAATTGTTTTGATTCCCTTGAATTTGATCCCTCTCGATATACACAAGGTCCTATATTATATGTGACTTAGGGTCAAGATCTAACTAATGTAAACTCATACTAATCACTCCATAATCTAGGTCCAAATAGAATAAAATAAATCAAATAGTAATTAAGACCCATAAAAGATTTCACACAAGCTTATTGCTAAGTTTAGCAATTCATCATAATTTTTATAACACTATTCTAATAATTTTGGACCTGTTAACAATGTCAGTCAATTTCAAGGGGTTTCAATCAATTATCCAAGCCTATTTCTAACTAGGCTTGACTCTATTGGCCCTGGTTGCAAATAATGGGGGCAATAGGGGTCTAAATCAAATTTTCTTCTTCACTTATAATACTTTTTCAACAAAGTCTGCATTTGTTCATAATAAGTGTGAACTTTAGGAGGTTAAAATAAATCTTCCAATTCAAAATTTACATCCATTTTCACTCAGATTGGGCTTAAAAACAAGATATTGTTTTGGGGGTCTAAACTAAAATTTTCATTTCCTTTATTCTTTGGACCTATATACAAGTTCATGAACTTTCACGGGTCCAAAGAAGTTTTGTTATTTTAACTTAGTTTTCTCTATTCTCCCTTCTCTATCCTTCTTCCTTTGACTATTTTGATCCCTTTATTTTATTTTTCATAGCAACATAGACCAAGCCTCCAACCCCCTTTTTGCTGTGGACATGAAGATGGAGGGGACCCACAGACTACCGGAGGTGGTCGGCGCCAAAGTCCTCACGGGAGCTACTCTCTATTTTTTTTTTTTTTTTTTGTTCACAGACCCTTCTCTTAAACCAAAATCACAATTCAAGATTGTAATACAAATCCATTTGATTTTAAAGATTTGTCACTCCACAAAATTCATTATGCAATTCATTAAGATTAGATTATACCTTAATCGGTG